ATGCATTTTTTTGAGACGCCTTTTGGAAGATATCAGAACTTTGTAAATAAGAGTCAGAACTGGCCCAAATCGGGTACTCGGGGGTTTTCGAGGTTGCTGATCACGATTATGATGTTCAAATTGACCCCCCGAACACCTGGAGCTCAGGAACGCCGATGAACGTCATCTCCGTGGGACTCTCCCACAAATCACGCGGGGAAGGAGAGAAACTCGGCGCCCGGGGGTTTTTTGGGTCGCTGAATTCAAATATGCCATCGTCGAACACCCCCCGGACACCTGGTGCGCCCGAACCTGGACGTGGACGTCATCTCCGAGAATTTTCCTGACAAGATTGACAAAAACAACCCGAAAAACATTGTGGGGGCGTTTTTTGGGGCGCTTAATCCATATTTCACGTCGAAAACGACCCCCTGTACACCTGGCGCACCGGAATCTGGACGCGGACCTCATCTCCGTGGGTTTTCCTCGCACAATCGAAAAAGTCGAACCGAAAATCGATATGGCGCTGAATCCGAATTCCACGTCGACAACGACCCCCCAAACACCTGGACCCTGGCCCCGAACGTCTTCTCCGTGGGACTCTCCCAAAATTCAAGCGGGGAAGGAGAGAAACTCAGCGCCCGGGGGTTTCTTGGGTCGCTGAATTCAAGTGAGGCATTGGCGAACACCCCCCGGACACCTGATGCGCCCGAACCTAGACGTGGACGTCATCCCCGAGAATTTTCCTAACAAAATCGCCAAAAATAACTCAAAAATCATCGTAGGGGCGTTTTTTGGGGCGCTTAATCCGAATTCCACGTCGACAACGACCCCTCGAACCTGGTGCACCGTAACCTGGGCCTGAACGTCATCTCCAAGGGTTTTCCAGACACGATCGCAAACACTAACCAAAAATCGTCTCATAATTTCACATATTCATTCATGGGTAACTCTCGCCTGGGTCCCTCGAAAAAGTTGATCCAATTTGATATTGAGTTACGTATTTAAAAATTAAAGGTATTAATTAATGAGGGAAGGTAAAGTTACAGTTGGATTGTATTTGATTTGAGTTCAATAAAAAGTTTTTTAAACGCCAATTACATAAATATTGACTTTTTATTCATTCTATTTCTTTCCTCCTCACATAATTTAACTAGAATCAACAATTCCACACAGCTGTTGCAGTATTGATGTCGGTCTCTAAGACATCAGGTTTGGTTGACATTCATGGGAATGACATCGATGTCAAGATAAAAGTTCGGGTGCACCAGGTGTTGGGAGGGTACTTTTCGACGTGAAATCCCGATTCAGCGCCCCGAAAAACCCCCCATAACGATTTTGGGTTCGTCTTCTTCGATTGTGTGAGGAAACCCCTCGGAGACGACGTTCAGGCCCAGGTTACGGTGCACCAGGTGTACAGGGGGTCGTTTTCGACGTGAAATTTGGATTAAGCGCCCCAAAAAACGCCCCTACGATGATTTTTGAGTTGTTTTTGGCGATCTTGTTAGGAAAATTCTCGGAGATGACGTCCACGTCCAGGTTCGGGCGCACCAGGTGTCCGGGGGGTGTTCGACGATGGCATATTTGAATTCAGCGACCCAAAAAAACCCCGGGCGCCGAGTTTCTCTCCTTCCCCGCGTGATTTGTGGGAGAGTCCCACGGAGATGACGTTCATCGGCGTTCCTGAGCTCCAGGTGTTCGGGGGGTCAATTTGAACATCATAATCGTGATCAGCGACCTCGAAAACCCCCGAGTACCCGATTTGGGCCAGTTCTGACTCTTATTTACAAAGTTTTGAAATCTTCCAAAAGGCGTCTCAAAAAATGCATTTTTTGAATGCATTTTTGGCTGCAGCAATGCAATTTCCGGTTTGTCAGAAACACAAAGTAGCCACATTTTTTACAAAAAATTTTTGGAAGAGAATGCAAAAAACCGCATTCCGATCCGTCTTTATGGAAAAAATTCCAAACTTTTGACCTTTTTAGTGCTTCATTGCCTCGACTATTTACATAGGAAGTAAGGAACGCCGTAGAAATTTTGTGCAACATTTTTTTAGGTATCTTATTCATGTGGATGAGACTTAACCTGTAAATAGTACGTCGGTGGTGCTCAATGTTAGTGGCACAACCAGTTCCGAACGATTTAGCACTGACATGTTTGAGTGAGGTTGAGATATAGGTAGCCTACAAAGTATAACATAACTTAGTTGTAATTGCTAAGTATTTCCCATAATATCGTTAATGAATAATAGATTATTCATAATTAAAATAAACACCTATGGCATCTATATAGATACTTTTTTATGCAGTATTATTTGAATTCTACACCTTGCCTTTACCCAATTTCCTTCAATAATAGAATGTTGATCTCTAGACTATTAGAATTTTATTTTATCAAAAATAAACAAGCAGTATTTTCCCGAATGGTCTATGAATTAATATTTATAGATTTAATATTGTTGTTGATTTACGCAGTGTTTAATTTTTAAAAGTTTGATATCTAAATGTGCGTGAACGCATTTCGCGAAACAGTGCCAGTATTAATGTCGTATTCCAAGAAATTGGCTTTAATTTCGGTCATAATTGACGTATAAAATTCTCAGCATTATTTTGCATTTTCAAACGAATGCAATCATACAAAGCCATACGTTATTTAGTTACAAAAATTACGGAAGCGTCCATTTTTACGAATCTCATATTTTTGTATAAATTTATTCTGAAGTTGTTTGCGTCTAGAAATTTTCTAGATAAATCCAGCATCATATATTCATTATTATCTTAAAAAATAGTGGCCCCTCGCAATTCATTATCGATAAGTTCATCGCCTTCATTATTAATTACATTTTTGGTACACACAGAATAAAATATACTTTATTAAAGTAATTAGTTTTTGTTAAAAGCTATTTGTTATCTAAAAAAGGCTCTTAACAAATTCTAGTTTCCTCACCTTTCTGCGACGTCGTGGAGACTTGTTCGAGTGCTTATTTTACTCGTGAAGAGTGTACTACAACGTACAATAAAGGAAAAGTTGATTATTAAAGTGTAAATTGTTTAAATATTAAGTTGAAAATCAAGCCTTTTTAATATTAAAAGTTATCTGGTAAATTTTTTTAAGATAAAATTTTCACATCGATTATTTCATTGCTACAATTTTTATGCAAATTTTGAGCCTTTACTCATTGCTCTACGATGCTCTGGAGATGAAATTTTAAATAATCATTGTGGCTTTGTTTATTAATATTAAGAGGTCTAATTTACAGGTGGTTTAGAATAATAGTTCATCTATCATATCTGACATTTAATGTGAATATTTAACTTAAGTTATTGAAAAAACCGCCAGCGTATTTTTGTGTATGGACCGATTATTCAAAGTTTACATAAAAATAATTAATAATTAAATAAACGATGTGAAACTTTTATCTGGAAAAAATTTACCGCTTAACTTTTAATATTAAAAAGGCTTGATTTTCAACTTAATATTTAACAATTTACATCACAATAATCAACTTTTCCTGTATTGTTCGTTGTAGTAGAACTCTTCACGAGTAAAATAAGCCCTAGAACAAGGCTCTATGACGTCTCAAAGATGTAGAAATTAGAATTTGCCAAGAGCCTTTTTTTAATAACAAAAACTAATAAATATTTCGACCTAAAATTTATACCACTTATTAAGTATACAATGACCTTCAAAAAAGTTATAGCACGATTTTTCAGAAGCAAAGCTAATTGAATTATATAAAATTGAAGAAAACGCTAAAATTGTCTGTTTTTTTAATTTTGCAAAAAAATTAATTAACGAATTTTAATCCAGCGCGTTTCCTTTTGTAGGTATTTTTAATACATATAAAAAGGTATTAAACTTTTTTTTAGTAGCATCAACGGTTCAAAAGTTGGACACAAAAAACCGGTTTTTCGAGTTTTCGTTAATTATTTAAACTTCCGGCAACTGGTCTCAAACTATTGTCCTAATATTCTGACACCCTTCCAAAAATGTTTGATTAATAATATACCCTCTTTTAATTAGTTTTCGAAAAAAAGTCTAATCCGATTGGACTATAATTTGAAGTTCAATGTTCAAGAATAATGGATAATTGTTAATTTTCCTTTCATGGTTATTTTTAACACCACGAAAAAATAGAAAGAAAATCTTATTCTGATTATTAAACATTGCCCCACATTTAATGAATACTGAGATCTTTATGACAGATATTACTGGTATAATTCAATGCCGGTCGGGGCATGTAGTCCGTAGAGTAGTTGCAATATCGTCAATTCAAAATTAGTCCTCATAATTGGCGGCAGAGGTCGTGCTATCATAGTACCTGCAACGTCAGGCGTACACTCACTCCACGTCTGTACTGATTGATCACCTACTAGATTATTCAAAACTGCAAGCACCCTTGATCCAAAAGTACATTAAAGTCATTCGACCTTCAAAATTTCGCACATTTTTACAACTGTTCCCATGACCTACTAACAGCTTTAATTGACAAGTGTAGCGGATGTGAGGAAGCACCACGTTATGCTAATTATTGGAAGGCAGAGTCCCACGAACGCGTGGACGAGCGGCGACCGTCACATTTTGAGTTAAGCCTATTAAAAACGTAATTAAAACAATTGTTTTAAGTTGGGCGTTACGCACAGTCATTAACATGATACCGCAAATTGTAATGAGGGCAAATCATCCAAATGGTTCAAAACAGGAAGGTAAACCACATATTAAATTACAAAAATTCCATATACCGTTGAAAACCGAAAAGGAAGCCTGATTTAAAAATCCCCAGTATATATTTTTATATTATCAGGATTATTGTTTGTCCCAGACGACATTGTTTGTCTATGTTTATCTACATACAAATTTAAATTTTCCCATATTTGTTCTACACTGCCATCTATCAACAAGTGCCTAAATTTAGTTTATATTGAATACAGAAAATTTCACATGCAGTCAATGGACCAGTCAGGAGTTCTATAATTTGATTCTAGATGTCACTACTTAACCCTATTGACATAACGTTGTTGATAACACTATTGAGGTTATATTATTATTGCATTTACATAAATTTTTCTTTACATTACTTGTTTGTGATATTATTGCTGGTTGTTTGAACAATCTTCAATCGTTCTAATGCTAACCAAGGATATCTTTTTAACTTCAAGCTTCGATGAACCATTAACCTGGCTATTAAAAAATGCCCTTTAAAGGAAGCCCTATTTGCCTAAGATGTGAAACGAACGAATCTCCTATGTGGAAAAATGCTGAAAATTTGGGTGCTATTTGTCTGGATTGCGTAAACGAAACAAAAAACAATTTAAAACTAGAACTGGAGGAAGACGAAGAAGAGACTAAGACAACCAAGAGGAAAACTAGGAATACAAGGTCTTACAAGACCAGACTGAACCCTTACGCTGTACCCAAGGCAATAACCCCTAAAGGAAGAGGCAGGAGAGGCTTGACCAAGAGAACGCCAGTGAAAGCTCCAACTGCTGTTGCTACGACGGTTACGAGTGACTATGTATTTTATAAGGTAAGATACGTTCATAGTTTATGATTAAATAATACTTTCCTCATATCTTAGGGCAGTTATATTCAAGTGGGTGATATTGTTTCGATGAAAGACGTGGAAGGTGACACATATTATGCTCAAATTAAAGGCTTCTTAACAGACCAGTACTGTGAAAAGAGCGCGGTAGTTACTTGGCTACTACCTACACAAGAAAGTCCTCCGCCAAATGAAGCATTTGATCCAGCTACGTACATTATTGGTGAGTTATTTTATAAAACATTTATTGCCAGTGATGGGTGGTAAAAATTAAATCATTGGATATTTTAATAATGATCATATTTTAAAAATAGGCCTAGCAAGAAGTGGGAAATAAGAAATGTGTTTGTCCCACAGAGATCGTTATCAAAATTAATTTTTATTAATCATCACTAGATATCGCTCTACCGCATATAGCTTTTGTAAAATGTGTAGGTCCAGAGGAAGATGTTGCAAGGAAACTAGACTGTATGGAATTCATAATGCATGCACCATCAGATTATTACAAGTCTAGAACCACACCATATCCAACGTTCCATGCACCTGCTGAACCAGGATATATATGGAGCTCTCTGGATACTATGCAGAGGATATGCAGCTCTGAAACGAAAATACAACAGGCAACACAAGAAAATATATTACTTGCTACTATCCTATAAGATTTTATAAGTTTATATTATGAAAGAGAACTCTAAAAAGACAAAACACTCAAGATGAGTAATTTAAAGGTTCGTGGTTTTTATTTTTAGCTTTTGCTTTCTAGTTTTGTTCTCGTTTCTAGTAAGTAAACATTTTGACAGTGTATTTTCAGTATAAAGCAAGATAATCGCAATACTTTATATAAGGTACTTTACTTAACCTTTATTTTTACTTTTTTAATTTTATTTATGTCTGTATTAGTATATTTAGTAATTGCTTAACATTTTGTCGAATCTTATTGTGAAACTGATTATATCATTTGTGAATATATTTTTTATTGGTATTTTTTTTTTGTTATCCTTTTGGTAGTTCACAAAAAATTGTTCCATATCAGGCACTCTAAAGCACTCTAAGTAGCATATATTCTCTAGACAACTCTTAAAGCTTATTATACAAGGAATTACAAATGAAATGATCAATCTGTTTTTGTTTTTGTATGTATTAATTTTACTTGTAGTTCCCTTATATGGTTTAGCTTCAAATTTTTTAATTTCTGGCGACGACATCCCACAGAAATGCCAAAAATTAATACCACCTAAAATTTTATCAGAATTATTACATATTTAAAAAATATTTATAGAAAAAAAACAGTGTTGACGGGTTGTTTTGAACACGGGACCTATTCGTTGTCGGCGAAAACGCATTTACTTTGTACAACGACGGTTAGTTGAAACAATTTCTTAAAGCTGTTTTACATTGACAATTTATTAATTAATTCATTCATGAAGTCGCTTCATCAACAAATTGGATAAGTGTAATACACCAAATTTGCTGTCAAATAACCCTAGGTAAATGATACTGTAGATATGAAACTTGAACAGATTTCGTGGTCATCAACAGCGCTAACTGTTGACACTTTCTCTAACTTCTGTTGCTTTCCTTTTCTGGGAGTTATCGGTAATACAGTAAGTTAAATTACCTGTAGCCGGTAAAAAATGCAAGCGCCATCTAGTTGTACGCTCTACAACTGTATACCTACCTACTCAATATTTGTTTTAGGTATTCTGCCGCCGCTAAATTTAAAATTACATAACAAATCTCTCCCTACACAGATCACTCAGAGATTGGTTTTGTAAAATAATTTTCACGTAGATAATTTTTGTCACCATGAGAAAATAAGTACATTTGATAAAAAACATTAAAATCACTCAAGCATTAAAGACACTTTTAAATGCTCTAATAGCCTTCCTACTTAAAATAAGAAATAATTTTGATACTGTAACTTTTTGAAATGTTTGTTGAAAAAATTTCAAATTTCAGTACATATTTTGAAAAAAAAAAGAGTGGAAATGATTATAGAGTTTCAGTGCTTTCTATATTGTATTAGCTTTCACGGTGAATAAAAAAAATATTACAAGTAAATAATTTTACTAAACCAATCTGTGATTAATTCTTGTATTAGAGATTATTATGCAACTTTAAATTTTTCGTTGTGTTGATATCCATAAAAAAAACTACCTACCTCTGAAAAATGTGATTATATGATGATCAGACTTTATTATGTTATATAAATAAATGTGAATGAAATATCTAATAAAACACACTAAAAACACAAATAAAACACACACCAACACTCGCCAAACCTAACCAACAATAAACATGAACAACATGAATGACATGAAATGATTCATAATTGCAATTGTCAAAATTGGTATTCTACAAAATCTTTGTAGCGACATCTATAGACTCTTTCCCCAACTTGTATATCCATCTCAAGTCACGTGGTTTCCCAGTTTCCCCATATTTTCAAGTATAAGTTCTCAATTCTCGGGCCCTGCAAATAACTTCATGAATTTATTCAAGTTCTTGACGAATTAGAACATGTTCTAATTTTCTTTCGTCAATTTCTTCGTGAATTTTAGAAGTACCAACCCGACAGATTTTCCAGCCTCAGATCAGTAATGAGGTTATGTTATTGGAATATGTAAATAATTGTGTGGCATCGTACTAGTTTTGCATTGTTTTTACTGATTTGTTACTTATAAAAACTAATATTTATATAATATGTAGCAAAACGGTACCTACCGCTGTTGTATCACTATAATTATGAGTCGAAAGGTGACACTTTTGAAATTTATTTGCTTCTTTGATTTACTGGTAGAACTGATTCATGCCTCAAAAAACTTGAGAAAGTCTGTAACAGTGTAAAACCACACTCTAAATTCATAAATTAATTCATAAAGAACTTTGTCAATTTATTGTCAATGTAAAATAGTTATTAAAACCTCTGATATTAGGTATCTAGAAGCTTTGCTGCTCTCTCATTTAAATTTTAATAAACATACCGACAATTAATTTAACTTTGCAAATAAATATTCTCGATTTGGAGCCTCCAGTAAAAACTTTTTTATTTATTCAGATGTCAAGATTTTGGATTTCTAATAGCTGTTTTACATTGACAATTTATTGATGAATAAATTGACGAAGTTCTTCATGAATTAATTCACGAATTTATTGGTAAACAGTCAAGTCAAGTTTTTTGACGCATGAATCAGTTCTACCAACGAATCAAAGAAGCAAATAAATTTCAAAAATGTCACCTTTCCACTCATAATTGTAGTGATACAACAGCGGTACCGTTTTGACACATATTATATAAATATTAGTGTTTGTAAGTAACAAATCAGTAAAAACAATGCAAAACTAGTACGACGCCTCACAATTATTTACATATTCCAATAACATAACCTCATTACTGATCTGAGGCTGGAAATCTGTTGGGTTGGTACTTCCGAACTTCACGAAGAAATTGACAAAAATTAGAACATGCTCTAATTCGTCAAAAACTTGATGAATAAATTCATGAAGTTATTTGACAGCAGATTTGGTGGTGGTGTCCAATTTCTTGATGAAGCGACTTCATGAATTAATTGATCAATAAATTGTCAATGTAAAACAGCTATTAGATTTGTAGCCCGCCGATTGTCGTTTCAGGAAAGATCTCAACGTAGGGTAGGTATACATATGTAAATGTCTACGGTATTTTTAATATTTATCATGGTTTTCAACACTGAATATATTGTCCAAGGGGTTGACGATCGATCGTACAAACGGTCAAAAGTCTAGAAAATGTTTCCTATATAATTCGAAAATATTTACAAAATACTCTGCGAACAGTTCATATTTATGTTTAAGCAGACTACATTTTTTATGCACGTACACAATAAGCTGTTTCTCCAGCGTGAGCCAAACTATTCGTCCACGAAAATCAATGGTCCATTAATCATTCTGCATTAACTTCCCGTGAATAATTGCACGAGAGAACGTCCAGGCATAATCGGCTCCTCCAGACAAATACCCTGATTGTGTCACAGCCCTGGATATTAAAACGCCATTTACTTACCTGGCTCTGACAAAGACGAGCCTGAGACGTTGTTTTTGAGGATTAAATTCATTTTCTGACGTCGCGCGTCGTCTGAAACCATTATGATGTCTATTCATATCACTTTTTTATTTTAAAGATTTAGGTACTTAATAATAGTAAATAAAAAACGTGCAGTATAAGAACCCAATCTATTTTGAATTTTAAACCATTAGGCCATTCAAAAAAAAACAAATATCTAATTTCCGCCTCAGTTGTAATTTGTAAACGTTTTGATTTTTTTTTCTAGCACACAGTGTAACGAAAACACGCTTGTCTAGATAGTTTATACATTTATTTATAATACTTATTTGTTTCATCATATTTCTAGGATATGTTCTATATTCTATCCTTCGAGCATATACTCCTTCAGTGTCAAAAAGCGCGACTGGTGTGCGAGAGAAAAAGGAGAATAAAAGGACATTCTATCTCTCTCGCTCCGCGAGCTGATTGGTCGGGGCTTAGATGCAGGATGGTCATTGGCATGGAGGGGAGCAGGCACCGACCAATCCAGCTCGCGGAGCGAGAGAGATAGCATGTCCTTCTATTCTCCTTTCTCTCTCGCACACCAGTCGCGATTTCTCAGCACTGATGACTGCCTCACTATATAGTGTTCTCTGATTATTTAAGTATCACTCCAGAAATCTTTAAAAAGCATGTAGTGGTATGTTGCCAACATATAGTATGATACTGAAAACAAATGTGAACTCTAAACTGTGTATGATACTTAAATGTTTTCAATTTTTCACAAAAAAATACGTAAGCTTTTTATATTTAGCATAACTGGTATTAATGTTATTGAATTGCGAAATATTTTGTAAAGATATTTGCATTATTAGACTGAGTTCGGTTCTGTTAAGAACCGAATATCCCCGAACTCTACGATCACTATCTCTCAAATGGCACAACCAAGATAACGTTGACAGGTCCATTTATTTGTGTGGAATTTGTTGTTATCACGGACGGTGTTTTTCAAGTTTGTAACTGTATTTAATCAATATTTTAATGATCTACTGTGTATTCAAGTGAAATTTGGTGATTTAAAAGAAATGATAATTCTGGTAATGGCAAGAGGCAAAAATTGTATATAAAGACAAAAAATATTTCAAACGAACCTAAAGTACCCTATTCCTGTTTCATATAAAAAAATTAGAGCTCTGTGCATATACTACGACATAGCTGATCTACGCTATACGTAAATTAAATTATGTGGTGAAGTCAGCGGTTCCCAACAAGTTGCATATTTATTTTGGACGAAATTGTTTTGTTCCTATTTTTTTCCAAAAGAAAAACTATTAATTACCTACAAATTCTGACAATAAATTGCTGTTTATACTATACATATGTACGCATTTACGATTCACACTGTATAATTTCACTTTCAAATATTCCATACCAAACAAGAAGTGATTTTAATTTCAGTAAAAACATATATATGGATCCAGTACAATTGGATAATTTAAATTTAGACAGATTTTTTAAACGTTTCAGCCGAAGCCATATACAAAGGGTTTATTTAAACCGGCTTTTCTCATATCGCCTTAAAGGGATTAGCAGCCGCAAGCGTATGTATTTAGGTGGATTATTGGACAAGCGTATGTATTTAGGTGGATTATTGGATAATACCGTTGCACCGCGGCTGCCGATCTCTATAGCCAGTCAACTAATTGTTTACTGCTACTCTATTCTCAGTTTAAGCAGAATTGCCGCAAAAACTTGGAAGCCTAAAGTGTCAGATAAACTATTTGATATTCAATCAATATTTTTTGTAATGAAATTTTAGTCAGATCTTTTCCAAAAAATAATGTATTGCTGTAAAATCTGGCACACGTAAGTTTTTGAGCCAACGTCAACCAACTTATTCCGCAGTGTACAGGGTGTCATGAAACGAATGTTAGTTTCCTTGACACAACTTTGCTTCTTTATAAAGTTAAAGGCCCCCAAAGAAATTTTTTATTTCATTTTATTGATGATCATTAACTTTAATGCAGTCAGTAATATTAATAATAGTTTTTTTACGAAACGAAATTTTTCTTTGTAATGTAGTATATACAGGGTGTTGGGTGTTTCATAATGATGTGCAAATATTTTAAGTTGTTTAGAAAGTAACTTTAGGGGGGATACTTCCAATATATATTTTTTTATTTGAGCCCCCCGAGAAAATATTCAAATCTAAAATGACCGAAAAAATTAGCTTTTATTTTTTTGGTAGTCTTTTTTTTTCTGGTTTATGCCTGAATGAAAGAAATTAGCACCCTTTGGTTTTATTTCTCTCACAACTTTTTTCTATGTTAGCCAAATCCAACAAGAAAAATAGCTTTTAATACTACATTTTATTAAGACACTTTTTTTCGTATACTTAATGGTTTACGAGCAAAAATATTAATTATTTTTCCTTGTCGATTAGTATAACAGTTACCAAACATGATTGTCATTTTTGACATGCTTTTTGCGAAAATTCTTTTTTATTAACAGTTACAGTCCACAAAATAAAAATAATCACAGCCCCACAAAAAAAAGGATCGGATCTGGTAGGTATTCAGACCAATGTATTTCTATGTATTTTTTACCGCTGAATCCAAATCTGCCTTCAGATTTACCCAACGGGTCTGAGTTTTCGGGAAAATTCAAAAAACAGGTCAAAATTCACAAAAAACGTCATTTACGTTCGACGAAAGTTATAGAAAATCAAATTATTCTACCAGCTCACTAGACGTATGATATTTCATTCGTTTAATTCCAATTTATCATTATAGAGTAAATTTCATTCAGAAACAGAAAATAGATCAAAATGCTTAAAAACGTCATTTTCGTGGCATAATCCGTGTTGCAGAGTTCTGGATCCATCTTTTTATCCACCCACTCATTTATGAATTCATACATCTTCGAATTTTGACCTGTTTTTTTAATTTTCCCGAAAATTCAGACCCGTTGGGCCAAATCTGAAGGCAGATTCGAATTCAACGGAAAAAAATATATGGAAATACATGGGTCTGAATACCAGATCCGATCCCTTTTTTCTGGGGCTGTGTAATCTATGGCCTCATATAATCATGTAGTGAAAATATTACAACTATCTTAGACGTTGTTACTTAATAATGAATTATTAAAGTATGGCACTCAAAAGAAATAAATAAACAGGTGTTTGCTGCCGCACTTATCCGTAATGTCATTTAGTGCTATCGAGAATCGTGAAAATGCGGTTCTAAAAGAAATTAAATTTTGATGCTAATTGTCAAGAAGACTGTTGTGACCTCTAGCTGAGAACGCGGAATCATTGATTATAGAATCTCCTTTACGGAAGTCGGTGCAGAAATCGCTAATGCCTTCCTATCTGTGTACCAACAGACATTTAGTGATTTAATTTTTACTTATTGGTTTCGTACTCATAAAATAAAATTTCTATTGAAGTTATGAGAAAATAATCAATTTAAATTAATTAATTCCTTCACTAAGAGTATATGAAAAATATAGATACCTACATTTTATTTGTTGTTGAAGGAAACTACCCTATTTTAGGTCAAATATCTTGTACGTCTTTTTCGCACAAAATCTTGAAAAATTGAAAAATGACTGTTAACGAATTTTAAGAAAAGAATATATACCAATATCGAAAACGGAGGAAACGACCCAAATGTTTTTAGCAGCAAATTCGAACGTAAATTTGGTTTCAGTCGTCCAAGAAGAACGTTCCATTAATAACATAGCCACACAAAAAAAAAAGTTGGGTATACTTTTTATGCGACATATATTTTTCGTAGTAATTTGGCCTCCTGAACACGAATCTGGGGTCAGAATTGGCCCATCACGTCACAATTTTTTCCTAACCTCAAAAAACTTGTGAAAAATAGTGAAAATTGATGAAAATTTACTGGGAAAATTTGGAAAAAAATTTATTTCCACATCAAATAGTACATTTTTATGTAAAAGACTCTGCTGAATTCAAATCCACTGTCAGAATTGAGCTAGAACGTGTGGTTTTTTTTCTAACCTCAAAAAACCGAGCAGGAATCGCTATTTTCAAATTCTGAGCGGATTTTGACCAGATTTTGTATAAAGGGGTTTTTTGGGTCGCTGATTACGAATATGAATTCACATTGTAAAAATTCAAGATGGCTGATCCAATATGGCGGGTGTACTTTTTTGAAATCCACCGATTTCAGTAAAATTTGGCATCATAAGGATTGCTGGTTGATCTCACCTTCATTAATCACACATCTGGAGCCAGATTTTCATAAATCAAGGTAAAATTTGTAGGCAGAGTCATAATTTTAGGCCGAGTAGGCGGCATTTTTTCGGCAAAGTCACATTTTTAGATTGAAGGCATAAGCAGATGCAGTGATGTGCTGTGTGGCAGTAATGTGTCCTTTTCCTTGAACTTTAAAATTATTAAGAAATAAAAGCATCTAAATGCCATAGGAAAACTGCATAGTAGTTAAAAAAATCTGATTGGAAAACCATAAGCCCATGCACGACTAAATAAATGAAAGAATAAAGTAGAAACTTTTTTGTCTTGTCCCATGGAAACAAGCACATCACACTACACATCATTACATGTGTAGAGTCCTTAAGTCATTTTTTTAAGCGAAGTCACATTTTTAGACGGAGTGGAATCTTTTACCTTGATTTATGAAAATCTGGCTCCAGATGTGTGATTAATGAAGGTGAGATCAACCAGCAATCCTTATGATGCCAAATTTTACTGAAATCGGTGGATTTCAAAAAAGTACACCCGCCATATTGGATCAGCCATCTTGAATTTTTACAATGTGAATTCATATTCGTAATCAGCGACCCAAAAAACCCCTTTATACAAAATCTGGTCAAAATCCGCTCAGAATTTGAAAATAGCGATTCCTGCTCGGTTTTTTGAGGTTAGAAAAAAAACCACACGTTCTAGCTCAATTCTGACAGTGGATTTGAATTCAGCAGAGTCTTTTACATAAAAATGTACTATTTGATGTGGAAATAAATTTTTTTCCAAATTTTCCCAGTAAATTTTCATCAATTTTCACTATTTTTCACAAGTTTTTTGAGGTTAGGAAAAAATTGTGACGTGATGGGCCAATTCTGATCCCAGATTCGTGTTCAGGAGGCCAAATTACTACGAAAAATATATGTCGCATAAAAAGTATACCCAACTTTTTTTTTTGTGTGGCTGTGTAATTTATGATCCTCCAATTTAAGTCGAGGTTCAATCAGCTCCCACCAAAAGTTAAACATCCCAGTCCGTCCAGGCGGCGTGAATCGGTGGCCCTCAGGAAGCGGCAGCGGCGGCGGCGGCGTGTAACTGCCTGCGTAGCTGGAGGCGGTCTCCTGGGGGGCTGCGTGGCGCTGACGCGCGCCGGGTGGTGCACTGGCGCAGGCTGCGCGTCGACCGCCTCGGCGCTTATCGAGCGGCGCCTCTAGTCCGCGCCAGGCCTAGCTGCGGCAATGACCGACGACCGGTTGCCGCCATGGCTATGACCATCCGTCGCGCCGCGTTCCTCTGCGTGCTCTGGGCGGCCGCCACCGCCGCCGCCGACGAGGACGGCTTCGACCCGGACGGCCGCAACCTCACCTTCACGGCGGCGCCGGTGCCCACCATGTTCAACAACTCCACGGCCCAAGAGAAAAAGCCGCTCTTCCCCGAGGACCTATTCACGTCCGAGCAGCTCCGCCAGGGCGCCATCGTGCTGCACGTCCTCGGCGTGGTGTACATGTTCGTGGCGCTGGCCATCGTGTGCGACGAGTTCTTCGTGCCCTCGCTGGACGTCATCATCGAGAAGTTGGACCTGCAGGACGACGTGGCCGGCGCCACCTTCATGGCGGCCGGGGGCTCGGCCCCCGAGCTCTTCACCAGCGTCATCGGCGTCTTCGTGTCCTTCGACGACGTGGGCATCGGCACCATCGTCGGCTCGGCCGTCTTCAACATCCTCTTCGTGATTGGGATGTGCGCGATCTTCTCTAGGACCGTGTTGACGCTCACCTGGTGGCCCCTGTTCCGAGACTGCTTCTTCTACTCGGTCAGCCTCATTACGCTTATCATCTTCTTCAGAGACAACAGTATTTACTGGTACGAGGCCCTCGTGCTGTTCAGCTTCTACGTGAGCTACGTCAGCTTCATGAAGTGGAATCAGCCCATGGAGCGGCTGGTCAAGAAGCTCATCTACAAGAACAAAGTGACGAGGGTGAGGAGCACCGACCAGCTCATGCCAACGGTAAGCACGACCCCTCAGCCATCAGTGTGGTCGCTACGCCATTCCCCCTCATCAATCATTCCATTCTTCTGCCCAACTTGGGATCATTAGAATACAAGTCAACCCTTTATGCTACACCACATTGCGTAGATGTACTGAAGTCCTTTAGAGAAATCCTTTTTTCCTGTGTTATAAATCAACTGAAGACTGCAATAGGAACGCGATATTTAACATGTTTTTATTCCGATTATACTATTTAACCTTGTACTATCGCAGAGAGTTCAGATAACCTCTATATATGACCGCGCATACTTGCGACCCAATATTTTTTTAAATAATCTGTAATTCTGAAAAACATATCACGCTAACATATTCCCATTCTTGTTTCTATTTTAGTACACGTCTAGTTTATTATTACATTGACATTATCATATCATTCTATGATAAAAGTAATTTTAATTGGAAAAGAAAATTGGAGTTCTGTTACAATTTGACCATACCTTTATTAGTTACGAAATCATCAGCAGATTTTAAATGAACGACCTCTCTAACTTTTGCAATAATCAGATGTGGTTGAAGACAAATTCGGATTCAGATTCAGGAGACGTATAAGTACAGTGGACCAGATCCTTATTGGAACCGACATAACATAATTGAATAGTTTGTTTCTCGAATCTGAATATCTGTATGTCTTCAACAATGAGGCAAAATTTCTATATACGCGTTACTAGAAATTAATCGTCTAGACAATCTGTTCTGTATTAATCCTGGCCTTGTTCTGAAATATACTAAACATATTTTAGTTACTTAGAGCAGTGGCAAATTCCCGCGGGCGACAGTTATGTTAAATAGGTTAAGAAATAGGGGCATGATGAGAATTTGGCGTGAGCCACTTAATCCGCTTGATAAGATCGACCCAGTATCCAGCATTTTAACATATTTACTGCCTCGCACTGCTTAAGGGCAAGGCTGGATAGTGCAATCTGGCAATCAATCGATACACTAAAGCGGTGAATAACGTGCCGCTGATTGCTCGTGTAAAAGGTTACTACGAAGAAAACTCAGCAAGGACAATCGGTAGAGGAACAAATTTTTGTGTACCTACGCGTTTGTGGCATTCGAGATACTAAAATAAGAACTAAAATAAAATGAGACACCTATTACTAAAAATCATAAAAAATGGCGATTCTATACAGGGTGTCCGGAAAGGTCATGTCAAAAATGAAAGCATATACAGAGGAGGTCAAAGTAGTTGTAGTTCTTCATAAAAAAAAATCATATCTGACTTCGTTGTGGAGTTATCACCTTCAAAGAAAGAAGTTTGAAAAACAAATTCCAATTATAACTACTAGGTCGTTACCATGACAACAATGAAATTTGGGCAATTAAAGAACTCATGGTAACGTTCATTTCCAAGTTTAAACTGATATTGAATATGCCTGGATTATACAGGAGCAGACGAAATTGTCCATTTAACGAATTTCTTTCTTTGAAGGCTAATAACTTCTACAACGAAGCCCGATAGGAAAAATATTTTTTTATTTAGTACTACATCTATTTTGACCTCCCTTGTATACCCCTTCATTTTTGACATGACCTTTCCGGACACCCTGTATATAGTGTGACCCATTTATATTTAAGTCACCCTATAAAATCTTTATTTATTGTGTTTTTTTTTTTTTCATTAATAGTAATAATAGTCTACTTTTTTTTCATTAATTTATTTGTTGATTCAAGTTGACATGAAGCAAAACAAAAAATGAGATAGTTAGCTAATTGTCAAAAGTGACAAATTAGTGTGTAGTTTATCGCGTTTTAATAATCATGAAAAATATACCATTTAAGAGACAAAACAGAAATTGTACGATTTATTGGCGATAATGTGTGTTCCTCAAAAAATGCTGCAATAGAATTTTTAATACGAGGCACCCAGACAGACAAGTAAGTTAAAGTAGTATACATTAGTACATTATATTAATAAAGTTCTCAATGAGACAAGCTGTTTCAAAAATGATTCAAAGGTGATTTTCTAGAAGACCCCTAAAAGTCCTATTTTTTACAATTTTTCAGACATGTTAAGGATAAAAAAATTTTTTTCTAAAAAACCGTACCAGGACCTTGTATAGAATTCATTCAAGTTTCTGAAACCCACCGTCGATTTTCTGTGCAACCATTCACAGTGGGGCAAAATCCCAAAAAGCTGGCCAAAAGTCAAAATCTTTAAAAATCGATCTGAAATTTGTTACTCGGGGGTTTTTGGGGTCGCTGATGACGAATTTGGAGTCAGAATTACAAAATTCAATGTGGAGGATTTAATATAGCCATATCAGAAGTAGAAATATTTTTTAAATAGGGATTAAGAATTAAAAGATTATGAAATACAAAATGTCACATTTCTCAAGCATGAAGAAGATGTAAAAATGACAAATGACATATTAGACTATTTATATATTTCATTAAATATGTATCGAGAGTGATTTATTTGAATCCCGTGCCAAAGTTGTAATATAAAATTCCAGTTTTTTCATAAAACAAAAGAATAATCATCTGATGAAAAATCTTCTTAAGTTGAGAAAATTTCGTCTTTATTTGCAATCTTCCCAAGTCTTACATCGTCCAGAGAAGGTGAAATTCATTTTACTCTACATTTTACAAAAACCTATACAAAAAGTTGTTAGGCACTTATAGGCAGCTGATTTTTGTTTTAGTTTAAAGATAATAGTTTTGTCTTTTTTGTCCAATAAGTTAAATGACAGAATTCTGCAGAATTATTAAACTTTTTTCTTCAAAACTAAATTACTATTTCATTTTATAACGTAAAATTCACATAAGTTTGGTAGCGAATTACTATTTTTCGTAAAAATATTGAATATTTTAACCTACATATTCATAATCTACGTACATTTATGAGTTGATTCCATTTTATTAGAGATAAATCAGTCAACTCTACGAAATTCTATAACCATTTAAACACAACTATTACTTCTGTTCCTACGCGCGAGCAAGATGTTGCTCGAGCAGCGGTCGCTTTTGTAATGATTTAAAAAGCAGGTATAGGGAATTTGACCCTAATAGTAATGGATTCTGAGACTTGGGATATTACTCTAGCCAAACCAACAGTAGAAATTACCGAATTAGAAACTTTGTTTTTTGACTTTTGGCCAGCTTTTTGGGATTCTGCCCCACTGTGATTGGTTTCTGAAATATCGATGAACAAAGAGAAAATGATCCATTTTCATTCAAAGTCCGATAGCTCAGCGAGAAATGGTCGTATCGAGACCAAAAAAAACAAGAAATTGAAGATAAATGAACAACCTATCTAATCCATACGGTGGTTAAGTTGGAATTTTTTTTCAAGTCCGTACACTAAAAATAAGATCGAAAAAAATTTCGAAAAATTTTTTTTCGTGATATTCATTAAGATTGCGCGATACGTGTTACTTGAAAATTTTTTTTGCAAGATCCAAAAATTAGAAACTTCAAGCTTCAAATTGCTTTTTTTTACTCCAATACGACCATTTTTATCAAAGATACAGCCATTTGATAAATCGCCGAAAATTTAGATTTTTTTTTGATCCCTTAATTTTTTCCACTAGTTTAGATGATTTGCCTTTAAGAAATCTCTTTAATTTGAGGTTTCAATCAGATGGTACCCGTATTAATAACGCTTCTGCAATGAGAGGATGGTTAAACGAGCGTTTTGAGAATTATTGGATACGACGAAATAGTCGTTTGGCCGCCGGGATCCCCGGGCTTGACGCCATTAGAATTTTTTGTTTGGAATTTATTGAAACAAAATGTTTATAAATCAAGGCCACAAACTATGTGTTAGGATAATGCAAGCCTGTGCAGAAATGAACCCTAAACCAAATACAAAAAGTAATTACAAACGTACGTAAAAGAATTGAGAAGTGCATAGAAGTAAATGGTGGATTGATAGAAGTGACAAGAATATAATTATTTAACTTTTGTTGATTTTGAGTTTCATTATTTTATTTTTAAATTTGTTAAATCTAAGATTATTAATAATTCTTATAATACCACGTTACTAAAGTTTAATTTATTTTTTTTGTTTTTGTTTTGTTTCATGAACAACTTGATATCAACAATAAATTAATAAAACAAAAAGTAGAGACTTCAATTTTTTATTTGGTTTTTATTTGAATTTTTTTAATAAAATTTGGCATTGGTCCATTTTTGGGAGTTGTGAATAGTTTTTTCACAAAAGATAGGAAATATTAGGATTTTACCTAAAAACGGACATAGTACACTTTGGATTTTGTGAGATCATACTCATTTTCATTCACAAAACAGAATTCATCAAGCTCTACATCTTAAAAAAAATCCGGTTAAAATTGCACAATAAATAAAGACTTACAGGGTGGCATAAAACAAATGGGTCACACTGTATTAAAAACAAAATAAAAACCTGGAATGTACGAGCATACTTTAAACATTTAAAGAATAAAAAATTTTAACAGAAGTGACCCTTTTGCCCTCCCTCCTAGACCGCACCTGTGTTATTGAGCATATGCGTATAAAACTATATCTCTTGGAAAAATGTTTGGTTCCGTGTAGCTACATAAAACGTTCCAAATTATTTCTCTTTTAGCCATACGACAATCGCGTCATCGCATACCTCTAATTGGATTTTTTAAGCTTATGTCTGCGGGCACCCATGAAACTAATGGCCGATGATTTGTCCAAATTCAGATTTCAAATTGACGCGTCAATAATGAGTAATGGAACTGACGGCGGTCGCTTTGATTTAAATTTATTCCTACCAATTTGAAAACACGCTTCCATTACAGGACGGCATCTGCAGGTAGATGGCATGGGCTTGTTTGTACCCTAGCAAAATGTTTCCATTACGGTGGCGGTAATGTTCGAGTAAATTAGTTCAATTTTTTTTTCTTTCCAACGAGTGCAGAAGAAATAACGACTGAAAATAAGGAAGGATTTCTTGTAGAGTAAATTCAGTACGATTAGTAGTTTAAAAATTATTTGAAGATTAACTTTAA